AATCAAAACTAAATAAATAACGATATTGTATCTATCCAGTTTTTGCTGCAGGAATTCAAAGCTCGCTGACCATAAGTTCACACATGGCCTCGATATAAACTAGGACGGCTTACGCCGAGCTGAGGAAATTATCGTTATATAGTATATTTAAATAAAACAATACGAGCATATATGAACACGAATACGGTGGTATTCGTGTTAGCTAGCCTTAAGAAATTTTACTCTCATAAATAAAAAGAATAGTCTTATTATTTACATTAACTACCTATTATTTCTAATAGAAAACAAACTAACCTGTTGAAAATAATATCATCTCAAATTGTCAAAATATGTTTTTATTATAAAACTTTAAATTTATTATATCTATATAAAAGTTTTGGTACAAAAGTAAGCACTGTGACGCCTGTTTTGGCGGTCCTGATTACCCCTGAAGTAACGCGTTATAAAATTTCTCAAGATACAATGCTTTTGGGAACTCTTGTGTTATTCTTCAAACTTAAATACAACATAATTTGCAGGTTTATGACACAAATAAATAGAGAGCTTAAATCTCAACCATTACAATAATGTAGTGCATTTAAAGTACTCTGAGTGAAATCTTGTTATAAATATAATTTGAACTTGAATAAGTACAGCTATTTTTGTTAGTTTCACCGCGGAAATATTATTTTCCATCCATATAAAAACTTTATCGTATTTCTTAAATCTAAAAGTCGACATTTGAATGTTAGAAATTACATTAGTAAGTCTCAAATACCAAGAATATTTTATTTCAAAGTAGAGAATCTTTCGAGTGAACTGAAAATACGGACCGGAATTACATTCCGATATTTTGAATATTCAAATGAGATAAATGTCAAAGACCATTATCATCTACCTTTTCAAAATTAAATTCGTTATTGAAAATAGGGTATTTTTAATCATAGTTGTATACATGAGTACATATAAAAAGGCGATGTATTATTATATCTGCCGTACTCTCTGTCTACTATGGAACTAATTCAGTTGGAACAGTTATTTATATAATAAATTTATTTACATGTCATGTCCTAACCTACGTACATACTTTATATAAACACTACGTCATAAAACATCACAAAGCTCTTAAATTGTCACTTAGAACCTTCAACAGATTATATGATAAATAAACTCCATTGAAATATATCCTAATATTCCATGTGACTTTCATACATTTCAAATTATAAAAAAGTATTTATGTTAATTATATCCTATATTCGTATACTTTGTCTTTAACATTTCGATTGAGGCTTGACTATAAGAGAAATGTAAAATACTAAAATTGTAAAAAAAATCATCAAATTCCGTTCAGTATTTTATGATTCTATCGTGAACAAACAACGTACCACGAAATTTTCATATGTTAGGATTTCATTAATGTTTATTTTTTACAATATTTACATATTTTCTCACATATTAATATAAATTGTATATGACATTGATACTATTAATTATATTTGAATACTTGTATACAATTATAATCGTTTAATAAATTACTATGACAAAATGTCTAACTGTAATCCTATTTGAATTATTTCGTAGAATTTCTTCGATTCTCTTGTGTTTCTGTATTTTGGTATCTCGGATTAGTGTATTTTAATGGTGATATATACTGTCACTGGTAAATTCTCTTAAGAGTTTTGCAGTGAAAACATTATTGAACTAAATTTAATTACATATTCCACTAACTTTTTTTTATATTATTTATATATAGACCTTAAATAAAAAAAAACCGAAATCCTAAGGTATTATTTGAGCAATTTTAATCATTATATGTTATAAAATGTGAATAGATACATTTAGATACATGTAACACGTGGGCGGATTATTAGTAATGTGGATTAATAATCCCATTGCTAGCAATGTATCATGTCAGGTCGACCTCCACGCGGTTCCAGGATGACGGTCAGCATACCATCCCAAACAGATCCCATTTTCCACGAAGGGAAACGATAAATGATCTGACCTCATACTTATCTTATCATCCTACAATGGTATACCGTTGGCGAAAGCAAGAGAACCATTCCATTATTATCCCTTAAAAAAAACACGGACACGTGGATAATAGAATTGCATATAATGTGATATAGCTATGAAGCTCGCCTGTTGTACAAAAGTTTTTTGTTCAATAAAGAATAAATAAATACAGGTGTACATTATCAGAAGAAAACTGTATAAGTTCTACTATCAAGGGTAATCAAGTGACAGAGATTCATTATACATATTAAAATCACTTCGTCTTTTTCTTGTGCGTAGAACTTGTATACAAGTATATTTGTTTGTATGTATGTTTGTTTGTTGAAAGTCGTTTTGAAAATAAAATCCTAATTTACATTACATTGTTGGAACACCCTATGTGCGACTCCGATACACACTTTACCGGTTTCTTACTATAAAAGAAGTTGAAGTTCAAAATAGGGATTTTAAGCATGAAAGACTCTTTTGTTTGTGCAATGCGACCATAAAGCTTTGATTTTTTATCCGCTGATTTTCCATTCATTGTATAAAGACAGTCTAAGAAAAAGAAATGGTTATTATGAGCAAAAGACATTACTTATGACTGTATTTTTTGCAGTCATTTTCCAGTATTATTTATTTACTATGATAGCTTAGTTGTTTCTAAGACTCTTTTGACTATTACATTATAAAATAATTATTTTTGAACATACAATATAAATAACTTACATTAAATTAATATACAATTCCAACAAAAACAGCAATGTTTTGTTATTATAACAAACTTGATTGAACGACCACAAATTGAACAATACGATACTCGTATTTGTACACCAATTTTATTGATAGAATTAATGAAGTGGTTTTATATTGTAAAAATAATTTAATCTCTTTTAAATTTTACGTCTACATAAATTACGAATACTTGTAATAAATTGATGCATAAGAAGCTTCACTAAACTCTCATTATATTGTTGAAGAGGTTTGGAACTTACTACTTGGAGATTAGCTATAATATTGATATATATAAGAAAATACGAAATACACTTTTTTGTTTGCTTTTCGGTAACTCAGTTATTACACATCAATAAAGTAGCTCATTATTGGTCTGAGAAGGGAAAATATACGAAATTCCTTATTTTCCTGTCTATTTATTTCGTTCTTTTACTTATCTTAAGGGATTATAAGGGAAATACTGACTAAAATATTTCAACTACTACTGTGCTGTATAAACCTGGTTCTTTAGTGAATACGAAACATATTCTATATATATATTACCGTTTTATTTATATTCTGAGATTAGTTACGTCCTTTAGGTTTTTTTAGCCTTCATTATTTCTGTTTGTGCATTTCGCTATCGTCTGAGTTAGTATGTGACCAGCAATTTCTTTTGATCATCAAATCTTTAAATTAACATTATAAGCAAAATGCAGATATAAAAAAATATTTACCATATATTGACTAGAAGCAAATTCACACACGTTACATTAAGTCTAAACAATTATCAAATGATGATGATGATGATGATCTGATAAACATAGCACATGTTATGTTTATCCGATTATTTTAGTTTTTGGTAGATAATTTACTTCTTGGTCCTTATATTTATTGCAAAACAAGTTTATACATAAGAGTATATTTCCTTAAAGAGAGTCGTATTTCAAAATTTAAATATAGACTTCTGTCTATGTCAGGTTATATATTTGTCAAATTTCTTTTAATAATACTTTTTAATAAACGATTAATATAGCCAATAAAGTATCTAGTGATAATAAAGACGCAATCAAACATATATTTCCAATATTAATGAACATTTGCATATTATACACATAGATACTAGAAGATTCAAACCCTAAATACACATTCGATTATGATATAATTTAGATTGCGTCCAGAGTTAATGGTCTTGGAAAACTATGATAATTATTAATATAGTTAAATAGGTTTTAACACGAATAAATTTAAAGATATACGTTTTCCCTAAAATGTATTTGCATTTTAGGGAAAACGTATATCTTTATGCAAAAAAAGATAAAGGAAAGACAAATAAATATTTACCAGTAAATATCTTGTGGCGCGTGTAGTATAAATTTAGCGAAAAGACTTTGACAACATTTCAGTTAATCGAAGTAAACTAACAATAGACACCGCAAATATCCACTATTGTTGATTTTACTATAATGGAATCAAGTACGTAATTAATTTTCTCTCGGCCGTTCCAGACCGTAGGCGTACAAACTGAAAATTGCGTAGGTTAATTATAGAGAGCATTCGAAACTATTGAGCCGCAGGGTCGAAACTTCAATTTTCCGGAAGGCATGTCTTATTCAACCATGTACAAACCAATTACAAGTCCTTGAGATACGAGTTAAATGTACCTTTTAGCTTGGCATTCTTTACGTGAAATCGATAAATATTGTTTCATAGAAATATTATATAATCAAATAAATTCTTCTTAGTCGCCTAATAAATGTATCTTAGATATTTTTACGGCTGTAATTGAACTGACATTATAATGACTATAGTCAATGAAATATAGGTATAACATACTGATGTTGTAGATGTAGACTACTGCTCTACCACTAGAGATAAAGTAAATAATATATGTATATGTGATATATCAATTAAAGTTTTTATGTGGGACAGTTTTGCTTTCACGACCTAATATGTAAACAGTCGGATTAGTGATACAAGGCTGCAATGAACTCAAGAGAAACGGTCTAAATTAAAAAAAATATGCTCTAGTAGTTTAATTGATTTGTAAGTTATGATAGTTTTAGTATATTATAGTTGTTATTACTATTACTTTATCCATAATATATATGTATATACTCTGATATTTCTAAAAGAACATGTACTTCATTTTATTATCTGTTTAGATACCAAAATAATAAATTATAATAATATTTACCCTGTGTTAATTGTATTACCTGAGTGGTGAACTTAGATGTTAAAATAGTCATCTACTCGTAAATGGAAGTTCAAGTAAGTTAATAATGTTATGAATTCTTTATCGGCAGGTGAGGGGCGAGCGTGATGCGTCGGCACTTGTGATGTGCACTCTAATATGCAGTGGGACGGCCTCTACTTCGTCTGTCTAGCGTTATGCTGCCTACACACTGCATCTGGTAATTATATGAATTATATGAATTACGCAAATTACAATAATTCAATATTATTTTTATATCTGCTTCAAAATAGTGGATGATTCCATGTCCACTATATTCATCATGCAACTTTCAAATGGGATGATATTATGCTAAATACCCGTTAAAAGTCTAATATCCATCTGAAATTCTATATAAATTTAAATTTGATGAATATAACGCACAGATCCAGCTTGTACAGATGATAATTTAATATATACTCTTTGGGTAGATAAAATTATAGTCTAGAATGACAACCAGTGTGATTTTTTAAATGACAAACAAAGCAACAGTCTACCTAATTAATGATAATACCCTTAAGTAGGTTTGTAATTTTGAAAATTAAAGATAAAACAAGAATTATAGAAGTGACATTTCGAATTGTAAACATTAAGCTATGTGAAATAAAATATATACATAACGAATTTGTGCTATATATACATTTTGATGTCAATGATAAATGATTATTTGTATATACAAATGTATCGGTCTGTAGTCTAGGTTTAGCACACACCGCCTACTATGTACAAACATTTGTATTCATAAGTATGATTGTTCCTATCGGTCTGGGTGGTTTCTATGTGTTGTATGTATGTATATTTGTATCAGTTTCTAGTAACTATAACACAAATTTTAGCTAGCTTAACTTGGGTTAGATGGCGTTGTGTGAATTATTATTATTATTATTAACACAAATATCGCGCAAAGATAGCGTATTAATAATAGTATTTAAGTCAGTTATAAACAAAATATAAGTGTACTTACTCATAATATGAATGCCAGAGTTAGGTCAGAGATACTTACTTATTTAATCTATTTCACATCTTACGAAACACCTTAGATTAAGGAGCAAAGCGAAGCAACGCGAAACACCAAACTGTAATTAATCTAAATTATAAATGTTGTCAGGTTAATGCATATTTCTCTGTTGATTTGTGTTGACAACCTGCCATGTCTGAGTTACACGAATCTATGATTAACTAAATAATAAGCAATTAAATCACAGTAATATAATATTGATATTAAACTATTATACACTGTTTTAGGGTTCAAAGTGAGAACCTAAACAAAACAAGTATGTTCATATTTGATGTACTGCTGATATATATAATGACCACTATACTTTCATTTTGTCACACTGACAAAATGGTAATCTTAATAAGCTTTCTTAATAAGCTATCACATTCATCCGGTGACCATACTTAATTGGGATAAAAAGTACCTAATTTATTTTCTTTTTCATTCAAAATACTCTGTATATACCAAATTTTATTACTACCAGTTCATTATGGCCAGAGATCATTATAAACTTTTTTTATAATTTTAATTGGTATTTATAAAAATCAATTATAACTAATAAACAAGTCTAAAAATAATAAAAAATAAAATTGTACGTATTAATATTTTAATTATCTTTGAATTATTATTTTACCTCATTTGTAAATGAATATGTTCAGTTCATTTATTTGCTTTAGAAAAAAATCCTTTTCAGGCTTATAATATGTTCGTTTTACTTTCGGAGCTGGGAGAGTTAATAAGAAAATCCTTAATGTTACATACCTACGGCTATTCAAGCAAATAAAACTTGGTTGCTTGGGTGCCTACGCTCTTTATTTCTCTTGATTGAGTTTCTTACTAGTTCTGACATATTGTTAGTTTTTCTGGAGAAGTTAGAGTAAATACAGTTTCTTATAGGCATTGTCAGTGTTACCAAATAAATTGGTATCGATAGAGTCTATCAAAATTATGTCGTGTTCATCAAACTAAGGATAATGACAACTAATTGTACCTACCAGTAAGACACATGACTTACGGGTTACGTACAGTTACATAAACTCAAATAGATTGGTAGTACAGTGGTACGCAGTGTGTTATATATAGAGAATACTTTTTATAGCATTTCTGACATACTAACTTTTATATAAAAGGCTAGGGAAAACATTAACTTCCTTGTCATATAAAAATTCTTGGAAATTGAACTATATTTTTTACTTTTAAAACGAAATATATCTGGAAATACTACTAGTATATATTTTCCGTTTTCCGATCAAATAAATTCATGTAAGCCATTTCATAACGCCTGATAAAACTTGGCATCCGAAACCGTGTATTGGAACAGAAATTATTTGTGAACTTTCCACCATTAAATTAACAGCAAAATTAACGATATTTATTGGGGTATCGCGAGTGAAGTAGACCACAAGTTTTTAAATAATATGACAGAATAAATTGTAATGTATTTTGAAATATTTATGTAGTAGCTTTATGTATATTGGAATATAATGGGCGTAATTACTGTCTGCGAAATAACAATTACTTGTAACTTATAAATTGTAGAGTTAATCAATTCTATGATCAGTTTTTTTTACTTGTTTTTTATTCAAAAGCGTTTTTATTATCTAGCGTCAAACTTAAGCTGCGATTTTTTTTATTAGTTGATATATGTATATAAAATCTTATTTATAACTTAACTAACTTATCTTTTGTGCTTATTAATTCTATATTTACATTTAATTCTATTAAAATACGAATAACAATGACAATTGATAGCTTAAGTGATTTTTAGGTCCACATTTGAATATTAAAATTTGCTATTTACAAATCATAATGAAATTCGTACTTAAATTCTGAATATAACTCTAATTAGGATAGGTTACGAATTATATACTGAAATTCAGTTCAATATTGTGTTTCCGTTCAACCATAATGAATGATAAGTATTCTATACATATGTACAGCATGCAATAATACTTTATCTATTTCTATTCTTTTTTTAAATACAAGTTTTAGTAAGCCCACTGTATTGCAGTGTCAAAAGATAGAAGTAAATTCTGTTACCCTCAATTATGGACAATAAGAAATTATATGATATAAAACTACTCATTACTCGTATACAGTAATGTTAAACCTGTTTTTATAAGACTAAAAGTATTACAATTCACATCGCGTTTTGGGATCAGCCTTGACAGACGACGACGGCTTTCGTCATTTTTCAGGCTCAGTCATACGAGCACCCAAAAATATCTTTTTAGATAAACTACCTATACTGATTTTATTTATAACTTGTTTTTTTTATGGTTAGCATAGAATATGACAGTAACAATCTTTTTATCGAAATAACAAAAAATGAAAATAGGAGAGGATAGTATAAAAAGGTATTTTATACTTGTGTATTATTACTTTCAAGAATTTGTTTCAGATATAAAACCGTCTTTTGTACCTTATTAGTTTAAAAAACTTATTTTATATTAAAAATACCCTTTCTGATAAACTATTTTTTTATTGACACACAAAACATTCGACACATTTTTTAAGCAATTTTATTAAATGAATCTAATTTTTAAAATTATATTTTTTGTAAAAACAAACCACATGAGTTACCATCTCTGTTAAACAAAAAGTAATAAAATTGAAATCCTACTTATTACCCATCATTATATTTTTTTTAATAAATTTAATCCAAACATTTTTACGGATTATAAAATAAATCTTTATAATCTATGCAGAACCGCTACGATTCCCAGAAGATTACCGAGCAAATGGCGCCAGAAGACGTCGGAGCGATGAGAAAGATAGCCTGGCACTATCCAGGGAGATATTTAGAAACATTAGTAAGCAATTACGAGAGAACATCAAACGAGAGGGAGCGACGGACCGAAATGACAATTTGTTACAAGGTAGGTTATATATAATTTTATCAGACTACTCTCTGCCTGTCATTTTGTCCGAAGGACCAAGATTTTCTTTAAGCCATAATACTAAACGGGGAAAAGTAAATTATTAATAATGAGATTTTTTTAATGGATAATAATGATACGGTAGTTTTGCTTACGCTAATAGTATACGCTAATGGGTACTAGTGAAAGAAGATAATATGAGCATAAGATCAGGTCAATTATCCCATTAAGCTGAAATTAACCATGATGATCTTAAGGGGAACAGCGTGAAGGTCGATTTTATATGGTACATTGCTAGCAATGAGATTATTATTAACAAGCTCTTTCTCCCAAGTTATGAGGATCATTGTCTCCATAGCAATGTGCCATGAGTGACTGAGCTGTCTTCATGCCCATCCTCATATATCATCTTTAACTGGTGCCAAGTTAGCGTATACTATTAGCACAAGCTGGTGCATAGCTCCATTATCATCCATTTCTATAAAGAAATCAGGACGATTAGGTAAACTGTTATCATGCTAATAAGCTATAAATAAAATTTAAAACTTTAAAAATTGAATAAATAAATGAAGAAATTGTGCTAACATTTTATCCAACATGCAAAAAATAAACATTTATTTAATTTGTTGATCAGTAAAATATGGTACAAAAGGCGGACTATTACATAGACATTCTCATCAATTTAGTCCATACTAATCTAGGTAGTACAGATAGTTATATTATATTGATACTAAACTTACTAAATTATTATGTTAAAACCGACGCGGCTCCGAAAACGAGAATTTCCTCAATTTAGTCCCTTTCCTTGTTATTTTTATATTTAATTTCGTAGTAGGTGTCTACGTAAAGAAAAGCAAATTATAATAAAAATTATTGAACGTTTCTCTCCTAACTTTAACTAACTAGACAGTTAGGTCTAATTCCCTATTCTATTACAGATACAGTTATTCGTTCTGAAATAAGATATAAGAAGTATATATAGAAATAGACATGTATATATATATATATATTTAAGTCTATTTCTATATACTTTTCTATATATACTTCTTACATATTCAATTAGGAATATGTATAGAAGTATATTTAATTAAATCCATCTTATTTACTTTATAAAACTAGACTTTAAAAACGATTTTTACGAATATTGGAAATTGTTTCATTTTCAAAAAAAGTAATCACTGTCCTTTGAAAGGGCCGGATTATATTTCATGGTAGTGTATTTCGGAGTATCTTATAAAAAAGTGGCCTCGTGTTTTCAATGAAATGGCTCCACATAAGGTCGACCCATAAATCTTTATAGTATTGATCTTCAAGAAAGTGTGGTTTCACGTTACTGAGTGGAGCGGTGCTCACTGACCTGTTACTTACGTTTTAATATTACGTATTGGTTTTAGTACGTTATATATTATAACATATATTATCATAGCTACGTGTATAAAATGTATTTTAGAATACAGAGTAATGACACTTATATACTAGGTTTTATTCTGTTAACTTTCTTATTTAACTTTATCTAATTCTTCCATGTAATTAGAATAACAAAGAAGAGTCCTCATGGTAAAAATCAAATCAAAATTTAATTTTCTCATAACTAAACTACTTACAGGTACTCGGTACTAGGTAAACACATAATGTATAGGTATGTATACTAATTTTAGTCATTATAGTTATCTACTATAGCGCTCTATCTTCATATAGATGCAATTATTATATAATTAGGTTCATAATATTATATTTTTAATATTAAATATAATCCAAATTGCATCGCTGATAAAGTATGTATCATTTATGAGAGAGTCAGATTTTCTAAATTGGTTAAATTTTATTTTTATTATATGTATTACAAATATAAATAAAAATTGACTGTTTAAATTACTTTTAAACGCAGTGGGACAAATCAAACATAGTCCACGTTTGAAAGAGAATTAATTAGTCTCTCGGGTCTGGTCGGTTTCTGTTTAAATTCTTGCTACAAAAGTAAAAGAAACGTTTTAGTTAAGCTCTTACCGTAATATAGGGGACTCATTGAAATGTACGATAAAGGGCTCATGACAACAAAGCCTAAATAATAATTAGTATATTATTTAGATAGTGTAGAAACTAATCGCGAACTCCGTTATTTTCTTAAACTACACAATAAAGTGGAATTGTAGGTACTAGACTAAACTATTAAATAAATATTTAATTAACAAATTATTATTATTTTATGTTGTTTATAATGTTGCTTAAATCATTTTTAAGTATAATAAATAGGAATATAAATAATAATAATAGGTAATATTGAAAATTAATGTACATTTGATACTTCTGTTCTAAAATCTTAATTTTCTGCAACTCTATTTTAAAATCTACTATTTAATCTATAAACTTACGGATCCAGTAATTAATCTTCATTTAAATAATCAAACGTAATACATTATTCATTTTAATTAAAGAAATAACAACTTCATCATGATCATTTCGACAAAACTTAGAACCATTAAAAGTTAATCCCAACTAGGTAGACGATAATTTTATTAATATCCGTCATAATTCCTGAATATACATAGCAATAAAACAATTTATTCATGAAGTTAAAACAGATAACAGTTAACTATTCTCGCAAGGAGAATATCGTTTTGCATAATTATTTTACAAACTGAGGTTTATTAGATAAATTGGTGAGCATACCGTAGGAAATCCGGTATTAATTTACATTACATTAAATAGGAACTTTGGAAACAAACCGATATATCAAAATGTCTTTATACAGATTACTGTGTGGTCTACTTGGAATTGGCCATCTTATCTCATTCCGAGAATGTCGTAAAAGGTAACTAAAGAGATAAGAAACTGGAGTATATCTTACTATTATTTTCTCTGCTTTTAAAACATCACACTGTGTCTCGTCATATGATATATTACCCTGTAATCTAGCTGTAATACAATGTTAATTAAACTATTATATTATTTATTGTACAATAATATTATTAACAATAACGGATACTATAATAAGTATCACATACATAACACTTTACGAAAACCAAAAGTGGTGTCTAACTGTAGATACATCGCTACTTGTGGGTATGTTGGTCTATTTACTTGTACTCTATAACTACAACTGAAACACTGTCACGTGATTATTTCGATATGTTAAAATTGGATAATGAAAAATTTAATCTGGTAATACTATTGGCGAAGATTATTAATTGGCATAGGACAATTTGATATGACAAGTAACATGTAAAATTACACCGTTAATCTTCCTAAATAAATAAAATAAATAACTTTTGAAACTATTTCATATAATTAAAATTACTAAAATAAATCTTTTCTGTTTCTACTTTAGGAAAGGTAGAAGAGTCTCGACACTATGTACCATACCAAACTTATCATGATCACCATCATGAACACCATTGGGGGCCATATTTTGAAGATGAGAAGTACTCGCAAGTTGCAGCCCATGTCGGCTCTGAAGCGTTGCTGAACTGTAGAGTCGTTATGCTAAAAGACAAAACTGTAAGCATAATTATTTGTTAAATTTGTTTTTAATTACTATTAATCATAAGTAATTAAATTGATTTTGTTAAATTAATTAACCAAAAATATTTTATAACATTTTTTTGGTAAATTTATTTATAACCATGCCTATTTACGTTACATGACATTTCGGTAATGAGGAATTAATTAGGCAAATAATATTATAAAAAGAATTTAATTAGATACTTTCATTAATTTAAATATCTAAAAATATCAGAACAATGTTGTTAAATGACTCCTTGCAGTCACATTAATTTTTGTTTAATAAAGTAGAATCATGATTAGACTTTTAATTACTTACAGTATTTGATAGTTTAATTAAATAAAATTCTTAGTTTAGTTAAATTTTGTAATGACTATTTTTAAATTCTTAGAAAAATAATCAAAAAAGTGACAAATTGAATATTATATAATAGATTACTAGGTTTAATATAAAATTCTTAAAATTTTCGTTTCATTACCGAAGAATAGGGAACTTTTCCGTATGACTTTAAGCCCTATAGCTTATCGAATTATATACATACTCGGCACATAGAGGCTGGTACATGTTTGCTGTATTTTCGGAGCAAACTCAAATCGCTTAATATTGCAATTGTTGTTTGAATACGTATAATACATACGTAGACTTTCTACTATTTATCATACTCAAATTTCTATAAAATGAAAAGCAGCACATTTTAATTTAGTATAATCTTTGATAGTATGTCATATACCGAAATGTATGTATGTTTCTAATTGTATGTATTACCTTTACTTGAATATATGAAACATAAGTAACTTAAACTACCGTCCGCAGGTAACGTGGATGCGGAATTCAACAGATTCAGCGCAGCTACTGACAGTTGGTCCATCGCCGTATACTGGCGATAATCGAATAGCTGTCAAGTTTCAATATCCAAACAACTGGAGGCTCAGTATGAATCCAGTTAAGCATTCTGATGCTGGGAAATACATGTGCCAAATAGCAACCCATCCTCCCAGGACAATATTTGTAAATTTAACTGTATTACGTAAGTATTGTAATATTAAACACTAGTTGATGCGCGCAACTTCTTCTGCGTCATTTGTCATTGCAGCTCTACCTATTAGCAGTAGATATAAGTAGCGTTATGTTATATAAACTAACTTTCAATACTAAAAGGATTTTCAAAACCAGCTCAAAGAGCTTATACCCCCGAACATTTAAACTCGAAGATATATTATTATAAAGAGGTATTTAAATAGGCATATATATTAAATTAATAGGATTCAAATTAAAACTATTATTATTTTATACATTTTTAGACTATTATTTATATTGAATAAACTTAATTTTTAAAAATACTAAATTTGTAAAAATTCTAGTCCTTATTAAAATGTAACATACATTCTTTAAAAAACAATATTTGACATTAGATTGTAATCTTACTTTATTTATAGTGTATAAAAACATTAACAAATCACTTTCAATACATTTATACGTTGTCCAAAAAGGTCATCATGTATAAAAGATTGTTATCTTTTATAATTTTGTAGCGTAGGTAGTAATGTCATATTTTATTTTTCCGCGTCCTCACATCGCGTATCAGATAAATCTAAAGCTCTCAGAGGACAATGCTACTCGTTTAATATTATTTTTCGTGATGAAAATTTTTTACGTTTTGTTCACAGGGGCTTTTACCCGATATCCATGATATACCGACCGAAATTTTAAATTACGTAATTCATAAGTTTTCTTTGCAACTTCATATAATTTAATATTACCCAGTTAATTACGTATTATTATTAAATAAATAAATAGTGGAGGTGTGTCTTACAAAATATTTTTACGACGTTGTTATATAGGAAATATGGATTCTTTCCATGTTTATTTTTGATTTTAGAAATAATTACATACTTTGTATGTCTTCTCATATTAAAAGATCCATAATGGTAGGCAAGCAACTGTACCTTATGTACCCAAAGCCATAAACAAACACATTTTAATTTTGCAATGTGCATCCCTATATCCCTATACAGATATACGTGAAAAAACGAAAATATAGCTTTTACGGTTACATGTTTTCCTTCTTTTTAACCTTAGGTAGTTCAAGCGTGGCGTGAAAAAGCACTTGGTGACCCGCCATAATGCGGACAAGTGTTGGAGGAAGATATTCGTGCCGTATTGTTGTTGGATTTAGGACTGTTGTATTGTCCCTTTTTATTATACCCTTTTTACACCGAAAATAAATTACATTATTTAAAAAGTTATCTTTGAAAACATCGCATTGTTTCAGCTCCTGTATTGACCATTAATAATGATCAGTCTCATGAGGTGAAAGATAGATTTTACAAAGCTGGAAGTTCAATAAAACTAACTTGTATCATATCAGAAGATTACGTTACGTCTTTACCAACTAAAGCTCCTACTACAACGCAAGCTCCTAGCACTACCCCTACAACCACTACTACAGAATTAACAACAAAATTGAGTACAGTTTTTAATAGAATAGATCTAGTAATGAATAAAAGTTGGAGCGTCGAAACAACGACAGTTACTTCAACAGTTAGTATAAGTACTACTACAACTAAAGCACCAGAGATAACCACTGCTGTAGTCATGACTGTGAAACCCACAACTCCGCCAGTTGAGAATAATATTTATGGTATATATTGGAAAAAACAAGGAAAAAACTTCTCCGATAATGTTACATGGCGCAATATGAGGTAATAAGAACATAGATTACTTTATATATTATATATAATTATGAATAAAAATAATTATACACTTTTTTTAAATTCAACTAATAAAAAAATCATTTCTTCATAACTATAAAGAATTTATAAAAGTCGAAAATACAATATACTTATTAAACAAGTACAATAAGAGACGAGTAAACATCACATCTTTATGTAGTTAAATATAAAAACGCTTAACATAGTACATACAAATTATTGTGTAGTTGCAAGTTGTCATAGAAGTATATATTGTTACTTTTTTTTAGTGCTACAATAAGTGTGGCGTCTGCTTCACAAAATGATAGTGGAACATACATATGTCTTTTACAAAACCACTCACAAGTAATAGTCAACGTACATGTTCTGATCGGTAAGTTTAAAATAACATTGTTTTTAATTATAGTATAACATTGGACCATAGTGTACACATATATTTTCATAGCAATATAAATAAAAATAGTGCCATTTTTGTGTGCTTGAAATGGTTTTACGCTTCATCGAGTTGGGGAATCGGGCAGAAGTGTTCAAATAATAATTTTCGAGAGGACGCCAGAATGGAGACTACTTTAGCCTACTGGGAAATACGCAATTTCACAATTCGAATTTCACAATCAGATATATTCTTGACCTAAAAATGGAAGGAAAGCAAAAATGAAGCAACGAATTAAGCAGTATTATGGTTATAACGACCTATATTTATTATGATCATGTAAGGAGTTTATTAGTCATCTCCATCCAAAAAAAAATTTTTGATTAACCAAATGTATCCAACGTTTGGTTTATCAAACATTTTTTTTCTCCCCATTTACTTCCCTAATGCTACCTCTCTTGGCGGTGCTAAACTTATCAAAGTCATTGGCCTAATTAGCACATTCTACTTTGCTGGGTAATAAACACTCTTACGTCGAATTTAATTTAAGACGATAGGGAACATAATTGTATCCTTGAGTTTGAATAACTATTCCAATGTTTAGAAGATGTACTATATGTATCACTGCTTGCATGTTGTTACTACAGCTAAATTGAGCGTAACGAGCGTGAGAATTTAAGTGTCCACTGAAACTTATTCAGTTCTGAAGCCAAGCAACATGTTTTTTTTTAAATTGAAGTGTAGTTTTCTCCGTATTTAAATATACAGTTAAAGTATTGATGGATGTGACTTCATACATGCGAACATTTGTACTTTGCTATCTATTAATGATCATCAAATCATAATAATAAATATTGAAACATCAAATGATAATGTGCGCACGGAAGAATAAAAGAACTGAATAAACAAAAAGAGGCCTTATAACCTAAAGCAATCTCTTACAGACAACAATATTCGTATGTCCATTTATTATTTGATTAATAATATTGTACGTATTTTTTTAATACGAATTATCATCTCTCTAAGAGACATTTTCTTTAGCCTACATGTTAAACTTACATATTTAAAATAATTAATATTCTGTAAAAATCATCTTAAGCCATTTTTTACATAAAATATTAACACTGTAATATAAGTTTTTGCCTCGTAACAATCGTATAATATATAAATAAGAGTGAATTCATGCCTGTACTTGGAAGCCAGTATTATCTGGTATTTGACTGTAATATTGCATTTAATCTTAATATTTCTTTACCAGGTGAGAACCAAGCTGCCGTTCATCATGACACGTGGAACAAAGGAACACTATTCTGGCAACCAATAAACTTATCTATAGTTTCTCTTATGGCTTTGCTTTTATATTTTACTTGAAATATACTTTTTTTCTAGATGGGCTGTATCAAAATTGTTTTTTATTTATGAACATGCATCTCTTCTATACAGAATTAAACGTTCAATATTGTAAATACATATTGAATGCCTATTAACACTGAAATTGCCCTTTTTGGAGCTTAGATACTTTAGAAGAATTTACATTCTGTAGTTTTAAATACAATATAAGAAAGTCCACTTCATAATTTCGCGAAAGAATTAAGAAACACAATTTTATAATTTAGAATTAGGAAAAAAGGTTGACTATTTTCAAAAATTATTTTAATATAACAATAAAGTTGTACGTTTGACTTAGCAAAGAAATTCAGTCATCTATATTTTATGTACATCTAGAAACGAATAAAGGCTTACCCAAAGTTAATTGATATCAGACAGTAGACTGAAAAGTAAAAGTAATTTGCAAATGGAATTGCCCTCAGTTCTTCGTATCTTACATCTACTTATAAGTATCGTACAGGACTATGCTGAGCATATTTAAAAAAGCGGTCCGATTAATATGTTAAGTTCAAATGTTTATTTAAAGAAAAATTGTACCAAATATATTTAATGTAGTTCCAAATGTTAGGTAGTATTTTTAATTGTTACAAAATAAAGCAATACCTATAAAGACAAATATTAAATATAACTCATTACTGTATACAAATATAATATTGGAAGTTGCCGAGTTCTAATTATACCTAATTGGTAATAGAAGTTGCTTTAAATATTTTATCAAATATTTTGCTACTTATTGTAACAAAAGTTTACGAAAACTTACGGATATCGTGAGTGGCTGTTCTTTGACTTCTTACAGTATGGTCAACCGTGTCAAACACGACTTATTTAGATATATAGGTACCATTAAATTCAGTTATAATAGTTATACTAACAACATGACGTAGACTGTATATACCAAATTTCTAAATCATTAAACATCTAATATTCGGTGTAATAAAAATAAGAATAAAATGATTCTTGTAATATCTAGAGTAAAATTTATCTTGTGTATTTTATTACGAAATGTACAGCGTAAGTCTATTGAATAATTGTTCTAAGAACTTAGTAGAATTTTCTTGTTTGTATCATAATTAAATGAATAAGATGTTATTTAAAAGGCGGAACAGAATAATACCAAATTCTATATATTATAAGATATATTTTATATGTTGTTGCACAATTTTGTTAATATTACACAAATTTCTCATCTGTAAACAGAAAAGACTATGTTAAATAACTATAAAGGTATAAAATAAACTAAATAATATAAATAAAATAATACAAAAGTATCGTTTCTTTTCATTTTATTATCGTACATTTTCTGTTTAACATTTTTTAAGTATTATAACTTATCAGACTTCAATATATAATTTATCACAACTAATATTCACACGATGCGTCACATAATATGGAATAACTCATTATTTCATACATATAAGGTGAGATGTTTTATGCATGTACTATCTACATAATAAGCAATCTTACGAAAGGTCTTTCCACAAAAATATTTTCAAAAGGTTCGAGTCAATGCAATATAGCTAAATATTAGAGGCTACGCTGTGAGCCGCACGATATCATCATCACCTTTCACAGAGAAAATGGGAAAGGGGGTCGACGATGTAGAAAATCAATTATACAGCTGACTTCAAAGAGTAATAAAGAACGCTGATGTTTCTATTAACAACAGAAAGCCAAAACGCGAATAATCTTGTACGAAAAATTCATAAGTAAGAAATCACAATATTCATAATACCGGGTCGATATTTTCTCTCCTAACATATTGTATAAATCATTTAAATTATTTCTTATAAAAGCAATAGAATAAAAATAAAATGAATTTTTCGCCTCATGTCCTAAAACAATTACTAACGAAGGAGAGAAGGCAGATAGAGTATTGAATGCAAACTGATGTATACATGAGTGAAGTTATGAATGTGAATAAAACACGTGTTAACTATAGAAATAGAATCTGGCAAATTATAGGCGGTACAGCATGAACAAGTTTGTGGACTTGGTCAATAGAAGTTATCAAAATCATCTGTGCTATAAGTCTAAAGTTCACAAAGTGCTAATTAAGCTTGAAATACATTTGCCTATTCGGAAATTACTAGGCCGTCAGCACTACTTAGTTCAAAAGAGAAATTATCATACAGGAGAATGTAGTTTTACGTTAATAAAAATATTATTTTCTATAACATTAATAATTTTAAAATTAATAACTTAGGAATTAATTTCTTTACATACAGAATTATAAAAATTAGTCTATATTTTATCTACATTAATACCATCTGCTTTATAGGGTGGGGTGACAAAAACTGAGTACTGTAATCCTTCATGTCTGAACACAACTCTTGCATTATCCACTTTCATATCGCGTTTTATAAATTTATGTGCATATATTGCTGGGATTGATGGATGCGAGAAGCGTGGGATCAATCGTCGTGGAGATCTTTAGAGGAAGCCTTAGACCAGCAGTGGAAGTCTTCTAGACTGAGATGATGATGACGATTGCTGGGATTATTTACTCTTCTATCGACGTCAGCTATTTTAGAACTTTAAAGGTAAAGTCGTCCATCAAATAAAGGGAATACACTAATTATTTAATCATGTGCTATGATCTAATTACTTTACAATATAATATAAAAATCAAAAATTTGTTGCTTAAATTCCGGCAAGCCCGGTAGTATACACATAACCATAAATGAAAATTATTAGTCTATTCCAATAGTTTTTGTAAACAATCACCAAAGTCAAGATAGAAATATATTACAAATATTACATACTAATTAATATTACGCTTCAATGGTTGTACTTCTAGAATATTCGGTTAATTCTCTGGAATAATTTTATCGCGAATTGTCACTGTAGTGTAGTATGTATTTTATTTTTTGCAATTGCAAGTAATAAAATAGTAAACTATAAGTCTCCTCTAAAATTCTCAGGGAGGGATACGGCTATAAAATCCTCAAAAAATAATCACGTGATGGACAGCTAATAAATGTGTAGAAAAATGGTATTCAACATACATTCATAACTTATAAAGAGAAGCTTAACTACTCAGGACGATTGCGAACGAACTGTATGAAATGTATATTAAGAAGTATCCAATTATTTTAATAACAGAATATCTATAAATATTGATAGGAATTTTACTTTAACTGGGTCTCTCACAGCTCATGTTGCAAAGCATCGAAAACTTAATTGATAATATTATTAACATGAGTTATACATATACACATATATCGCAATATTTGTTGAATATTATTAAGAGTTGATGAAGCTGAAGTAGGAGTTAAACATAACGCGACCGCTTACACGAAAGCTAATACTCATCAAGTAGTAGACGGTATCAAAGCACCAACTACCAGTCAACTCACTATAAGCTTCCAAAACATTAAAGCTTTAGGGGTTGACAAGGTAAACCTGATTTCAGCACATGTGTATATAAAAATATTGCCTACAGGGAATTTCATAGTTAGATAGTGTGACGCTTCAATGAGAATAGTTTATTTATAGGACGCTCCAGTTTCAAATACAAATTAATGAAGAAATTTCGAGTCATTGGAGGTAAACACAACATTTTACAATATTTTTACACAACTTATTATTCATAAAACAATTTGTTACTATCACCTACACTTGAAGTGAGTGAAGTGAAGTGAAGTACCTACTGTTCACATAACCAGTCCATACAATTGTATATAAATTGCCTGTGAATTTGAAAAGTTTATTTTATAATGAAGAATTCAAATACAATTTTTTATCGTTAAGTGTTTGTACATGAATTTAGTAAAGAATTAAAAGACATATTTTAATTTATTAATATCCCTAATTATAATTTGTCATTTTTCTTTCTCGAAAATATAGATTAAAAAAAAATTTTTTATTGTTCTTTTTAGAAATGGGATCTTCATTGGATTTACAATCTTCAGTAATTAAACAAGTGTTAAGGTCACAGATCGATGAATTTAAACAATTCGACTGGAAACGAATGTTCATCTGTTAATAACTGTAAATATTCTAAAATATGTCCAATCTTAACACTTTCCTAATAATATATTATTATATTATTACTATTACTCAGACTCTTATCATAAATATCAATACATATACGGAAAGAATCTACTACAAAACTTCCTTAAAAACTTTAATTCACTTGTCAATTTACATAAGTCCAATTTAACAGAAAAGTCGATTGAATATTCATTACTTACCTACCTTTATAACTTGAACCTCTTTACCCCTTCAAATAGTTCATAGTGACAATCGGACAAAAGGTCTTAGTGAATTCCAGGGATACTAAAACTTACTCCGGTTCGGCAAACTATTGCAGATTAATGTTTTGCCTTTATGCTTGAGCCGCAGGCTATTCATCTGATAGTAGGCATGTCTACGGAACTTTGTACAACTTTCGGACAAGTATTTTGTGTCGAGTTATATCTTGAATTATTAAGTTTGTAAGATTACTTTGCGGTGTCAGTAAAATATTATATTGTATTATTTTTCTGAAAATATAAAATATATCACGTTTGTACTCAAATCTATATCAGTATAGATACTACCATTGACAGGAAACAAAACACACCAATCTCATAAGTAAAATATTAGTGATTAAATTAAGTTTATTTAAATAAATGATTTTCTATTCTATTCTATACTATTATAATATGGCAATCTACAGCTTGCTATACAACTATTCTAAATTGTTATCAGGTAAACATAAATTACAATTCACGTTTTCGACTTCTTTTTATGAGAGATAATAATAACATTTTGTGAGGTAAATTTTTCCTTCTGATACAATCAATCAAATCATTTATCAGTTAAAAGATAACAGACAGACATATACATTTTTGCATTTGTAATATTTGTATGTACAATACAGAAAATCCCATCTATCGTAATGCTTATCCTTACCAATAATAGAATATGAAAATCTATCTGTGACTATTTGTTATGATTGATTAGGTTATTAATTCCTATAGACGAGGCATACATACGAGAATAACTCAATTTCGTCCAACAAGCTTTGAGACATAATCAAAATTGTATAT